GGGAGATATATACATGTTCTCCGCGCGTCACACTGCATTCTGTCTCGAAAGTTGTGCATGTTGCATCTAAACATGTATTCTTCGCTTAAAGATTCTAGGCTCCCCTGGATACGATGAGCCCGGAAGTCTAGAGCTAAGATCGGCATTAGAGTTAGTTCTGAACCTACCTATTCGCCGTTCTGTGAAGTGTAGCGAGCTTGTCTCAGCCGCCTCTGCACCTACGGGTTCCAGACATTCTTCGCTGCCCGTCTAGACCCTGAGACACGTGGAAATTTGAGTCTGGTAGTGTCGAAACGCTAGGCCTGAGACAATAATCTAATCTAGACTTCAAGCTCGCCCGTAATAGGTATTTACCTAGACAAGGTCAGGGTCACGCCTTGCTCATGTTAACTACATGTATATGAGACGAAGGTGGGAGAATCATGTAGTGTAAAGTTTTCAGAAAGAAGAAAGTTCTCCGCAACTCAGCTGCGCACTGTACAGTTTGTAGCGGTACATCTGGTGAGATGAAAAGCATAAAGTTAATATCAAAAGCAGCTATCCGTATTGTATAGTAGCACAGCGTCGAGGTTATTCTGGTTAGACACAGGAATGTGAAAGTAGAAAGTTCCTATTGTCGGCGTTGAAGTTGTACAAGATTCTGGGTTACATAAGCAGATAAGATATCAAATCGCTGATATGATATGATTAGCTATGATTATCTAATCGATAAGCCACAAAGGAATTGCTTTAGGTAAGCAGCCTAAGAACCCTGGGAGGTGCCTTACATAAGTACCTAGGCAGGTAGGTACTGCAAGCCTACACTGGCACGTGTCCTCAGGCTGTTCTAGAACCCGCTAAGGCTGAGGAGTACAAAGAACCTTATCGCGTGTCCAGCAATGTGACTAGAGATTTTTAGGTGATTTTCGTTAGAGGAACGTGTAACTTGGGTTCGTCTAAATTTCCATCTTTAATGACAACATAGCAACGCATCGCATCTAACATCTGATGATCACGCTCCAAGTTTTAATTCACATTCTTTGTTGGCTTCAGGTTGAAGCTTGGAAAGTTAATTATTCTAACCTTTGCTTGTGGACCATATTCAATTCAATTGCTTACCGTCCTTCTCTGCTGGTTCGAGAACGGTGGGAAGTTCGCCAGTTAAATCATCCCTTCACAATTCGTGTCTTCATACACATGCCTTCTTCTTTATTCCCCTGCCGGTGATGCCCTTGCTAGGCATGGGCAGTTGGACGTTGGCCACCTCCCACAAATCAACAAATCATGGCGCTTTTACCAGATTGATCGTTCTATTCGCGCTGTTGGCGTCATGGCTGGGTGTGGTAGATGCAATGCGCCCTAGTCGCATTGCTGAGTTGAGGCAGGAGACGGTCAACATGTTCTACCACGGGTACGATAACTATATGAAGATTGCGTTCCCCGAAGATGAGGTATGGTTTGACAATATATATCCCATAATGGCTTATTTTGCCAAAGTAGAAATGTGCATTAGCTCATAATTTACAGTTACGGCCCGTGTCTTGTACGCCGTTAACTCGAGATCCCCTCAATCCGAGAAACATTGCACTTAATGACGTCCTCGGCAACTATTCTTTGACCCTCATCGATAGCCTCTCGTCCCTCGCGATCCTTGCGTCCGCGCCTCCTGATAGTAAAAATACCGGGCCCAAAGCCTTGGCCGATTTCCAAGATGGCGTTGCCGCGTTGGTTGCACAGTATGGTGATGGACGGCCCGGCCCAACTGGACAAGGCGCCCGTGGTCGCGGGTTCGATGTTGATAGCAAGGTTCAGGTCTTTGAGACCGTAATAAGGGGTGTTGGTGGACTACTCAGTGCCCATTTATTCGCCGTGGGGGAGTTGCCAATATCTGGTTATAACCCACGGAGACCAACTGAAGGTGATTTCGATGCTGAGCAAAATCCCATTCCTTGGCCGAACGGGTTTAAGTATGACGGACAGCTGCTACGGCTTGCACTCGACCTAGCTCAACGGTTGCTTCCAGCCTTCTATACCCAGACCGGATTACCCTATCCACGTGTCAATCTCCGCCATGGAATACCATTTTACGTGAACTCACCTCTCCACGGGAACACCAATCTGGATCCGAAACCGGCCGAGGATTCTCCAGAAATAACGGAAACATGCAGTGCAGGGGCAGGGAGTTTGGTGCTTGAGTTCACCGTGCTGAGCCGCCTTACCGGAGACCCGAGATTTGAGCAAGCAGCTAAGAGGGCATTTTGGGCTATCTGGTCAAGAAGAAGTAACATCGGCCTTATTGGGGCTGGCGTGGATGCTGAGGAAGGACACTGGATCGGAGGATTCTCTGGAATCGGTGCAGGGATCGACAGTTTCTTCGAATATGCTCTCAAAACCCATATCCTGTTGTCAGGTCAGGAACTACCCAACCGGACGATGCCTCAAGCACATCACGATGGAAATTGGCTTGATCCCAACCAGATCTACCATCCACTTTCAGATGAGGACAACTCTCCCGATTCTTTTCTGCAGGCCTGGCATCATGCCCACGCAGCCATCAAGCGCCACCTCTACTCTGGCTTACATCATCCGCACTATGTGAACGCCCACATGTCTACTGGCTCGCCGCAGGCATACTGGATTGACAGTCTAGGCGCATACTACTCCGGCCTATTGGCACTAGCTGGAGAACTTGACGAGGCCATTGAGACGCATCTAGTCTACACAGCTCTCTGGACTCGGTACTCTGCACTCCCAGAGCGGTGGTCTGTCCGCGACGGTAATGTCGAAGGTGGTCTTGGATGGTGGCCTGGCCGGCCTGAATTCATCGAATCTACCTACCACTTGTACCGCGCTACTCGAGACCCTTGGTATCTTTACGCAGGCGAGATGGTTCTGAAAGATATCTATAGGCGATGCTGGACAAGGTGCGGTTGGTCTGGCTTGCAAGATGTACGCACAGGGGAGAAGAGTGACCGAATGGAAAGTTTCTTCCTCGGAGAGACCGCCAAGTACTTGTATCTCCTCTTTGACCCAGACCACCCTTTGAACAAACTTGATGCTTCGTACGTATTTACTACGGAAGGGCATCCATTGATTATCCCTCGGAAGAAGTTCCATCGTCCAGTGCGCAAGCGGACATCAGAAACGGCTGTTCAGCCCTACTTCGATACCCATTTTACTACTACGTGTCCCCGTCCGCCTGATCTGCCCCCACTGTCTGGCTCTGCCACCGCTGCGAGACCAGATCTTTATAACGCGGCAACATTGATTCGGCTTCATCAGATTCCCAACATACACAGCGGTCTGGAAGATACAATTGCGAAGTTAGGCGGGCCTGAAGCGCGAACAATGCAATCAGAGAAGCCAAGAGAGAATTATACATATTTCCCCTGGACATTGCCTCGTTCCATGCTCCCAGCCGACGGCGTCTGTGCCGTAACAAAACAGGCCCAAACCTCGGTTATTGAATTCCCTTCCAATACTCAGCAGTCTGTGGGCAGTGCTTTCAACCTCATGTTTGGCGGCCATAACTTGGTTCGAATGGGAAGCGAGGGTATTGCGATTAACAGTCTCTCTGGTCTGAAGCTAGCACTCCTCATGGAAGAGCCCCCCGAAACAACAGAACGGGCTTGGAGAATCTATAGCATTGGGAGCATACCATTGGGCCGGGATGAAAAGGTTTTCATCACTCGTGATGTCCTTGAGGATATGTCGGATCCACTGTTCCATCGTGTTCGCGACTCCGTGCTCGTCGACCTACTCCTACAGATCGAGATCCCTCAAGAACCACTGGAGCACAATTCGACATCCGACCCCGAACCCTCCACCGACAGCGGGTCTCCTATTGAACTCGATGTCGAGTCCGCCGTCGGCTCACAGAACTTATTCAGCTCGTTCCTTCAGCAGATCACGTCTGTTCTACGGGAACCAGCCGCTACCTTCGGCCCAGAACCAATATCTCCGCCAAAGTACAGGTTCGTAGAGCTGCCCGCCATCACGCCCGTCGGAGTAGGCGCCGCCCCCTTACCCGACATCCGCGAAGCGCCGAACCCGCACACGAACGCCATCATCGACTCGCTGTCGTGGCAGCGCATCTTCTTCGCGGGCCACGCCTGCGACGGCAAGCTACCCGACGCGGCGCCGCGGTCGCACCAGGTGATCGTGATGCGCCGGGGTGGGTGCTCGTTCTCCGAGAAATTAGCGAATATCCCGTCGTTCGCTCCCGGCCGGAATGCGCTGCAGCTCGTGGTCGTGGTGTCGGACGATAAGGACGCCCTGGACCCCGACGACGAGGAAGGAGAAGAGGAGGGGCAGGGGGAGGAGGATATGTACGGGTTTAATTTCATTAGGCCGCTACTTGACGAGCCGCAGAAGACGCCCGCGGGGATATTGAGGCATCGTCCTATCGCTATGTTAATGACGGGCGGAGGGAAGGAGGCGTATGAGTTGTTGAGGACGACGAAAAGTTTGGGCTTGAGGAGGAGATACCATGTTGAGAGCCAGGGGTTGAAGATAAGCAATCTGATCGTGTTGTGAAAGATAGGTACACAAGTACATAGGTACGTGCGATGTTACGACAAGTGTGGCGTAGGTCGTTTTGGTTTAGTTGCTTGCTTTGAGAGGGCGACAGTGTACATAAAGACTTTGATGTAGATAGTCGGTGTAAAAATTTGGAAGAGTCTGGATAGAAGAATTGACGAATATGGAATCACCTACCTAGATAGGTAGGTACCTACACATTGAAGTCTTGGTCGCCCACCATACATCGCTTACCTTTTGAGCATAGAGAGAGCGAAGATGGATTCTTCTGGTCTTGTGTTTGAATCTGACCCTTACCATAGGACTTAGAAAAAAACGCCAGGCCAAGATTTATGTTTCTTGGTCATCTGGGACTGGAGGATATGCTTCTTCTGAAGCTTCAATTGAAGACCAACCAACCAACAACATTCGACTACCTAGGGAAAAAGTGAAATAAAGAAATAAAAAAATTGCGGTACAAGAGGAATCTAACCTCTTAATGCTGGACTCGCGGGGAATCGAACCCCGGACCACTCCCAAGTTAGACAGACAGACAACTTCAACCAACCATCGTGAGGTGGATCGTCGCCATCATCATCATCATGCTAAGGGAGTATTATACCACTAAACCACAAGCCCGTGTTGATCCTGGTGAGTTCCGGATGGAACCATGATCGAAGTGATTGGTTGGGAAAGGCACATTTTTGTTGGATTATATGCTTATTGTGGGATGAGGAGGCGAATCAGCCCTAATCAGCTAAGTGGAGATCACCAACGGGTCCGTGTTCTAGTCTAAGAGATAGTGTCTCAGCTATCTATAATCCGTAGATATCTAGGTACCTCGTTGGCAGGTTTCGCTTCTCTGAAGATAAGAATATCATTTGGCATGGTATTTATGAAGTAAGGTGTTCTCAACAAACCAAACTACCGAGACACATATCTAGTAGATTCAAGGGGATCAGGATGTATCATAATGTATCCCTCGGCGGGCAACGTGGAATTATGAGACCTAACCTCATAAATTGTCAGGATTTGCTCATTTATCTCCCACAATCGCCCAGCATGAAGCGCTAAGAGGATCAGTTACTAAAGGAGTACCTACATGAGGTCGGTGTCAACTAAATGCTAGATATCACCAACAAGGCACTCGTGGCTGGATGGCGCCGTAAAAGTACAAGAGCACGTACCTCCAGAGCCTAGTGCCATGCTATCTAGGTACCTAGGTAGGTATCTACCACATAGGGCTGGTTTAGTTTCGGTGCCTGAGCCGTCTAAGAGGAAAGTTGCTGCCAGTCTTCTCGAAATGGGAGTCTCATGTAAATAGATCTTCGCTCGATCCTCCTCGAGATTCAACCAACAGATATATCTGTATATGAGACACCAACACAATCCATCAGCAAAGTAAGGGAGAACGAGCGACAACACGACGAGAACTTCGTGATGCTACGCGAACGAACTAACTACTAAGCATCGAACGACGTGCTGGCGGGGTTGAGTTTATATCGTAAAAGACTCTTATGTCTATGACCTAAGAACAGCCGAGATAGTCTAAGCGACAATACGAGCCAAAATACCGTGCCGCCTTTATAAGCAGCGAACATTTAAGATATTTCAATTGGAGGTCAGAAATGTCCATACGAGCCAGGATAAGCTCTTGTGACAGCTTGTTGACAATCTACCAAGAAGCATTTAGAACCATATTTGACAATCTAACCCAAGTCAACACCCATGCTAGACCGCTTCGCTAAGATAATATTGCAATTAGTTGGAATACCCGGTGAGCTCCATCCAATAACCGTAAAATCGCCGACAAGGTATCAAGAATCAATAGTGAGATTGTCGTATCGAATGGAAATTCAAGCGCAACCACACGTGGTACCAGAAGGTTCACTTCTTCGAAAAGGTATCTTCGGCTGACACTCTAGAACTATTAGTCCGTAATACGGCTCGACTTATATGTCGACGATAAAAAAGATAGCTAGCTAGCTAGCTGCGATTATAAGGCGTGATATAAGGTGTAGCTTGCATTATCAGACAGCCGCATCTGTTGTCAATGTGTCAATGCAGATACGAGAAAACGTCCCACGCTATATTCGCTTGGGCTTGGGCTCGGCCGAATTGGCACGGCATCCACCACAAGTTGCCCGGGCGACATCTTACCACTCTAGTGTTCTACTAAAGCTCACCGTTCTCGTAATCGCTAGATGGCGTCCAAAAAGAAAAATCTAGAACAGGTAAGTTGAATTAGGAGGAATTCAGCCTCATAGTCGTATTGATGAGCTACCAAAATATAACTCAGTGACAAATTTCCAACTCAGTTGGGGGTATTCTTCTTGGGGTGGGAAAAAAAAACAGTATGTAACGTCGTCTTGGTTGATAAACCATATCGATGTAACGCCATGGAGCTCCGCCGTATGCAATGCAGATATTCCTGCCCTCGTCCAATCGGCCAGATGCAAGTCGTGATTGGACGCCGATAAGTCGGACCAGATTTTTGGGCACAGATGCCCCACACCAAACGCCAGTCGCCCATGGTAATATATTCATGGATGCTAAAACCATTATGTATCTTGTAGAAAAACGCCGATATCATGCTAGATGTTGTGATCATGATAATAATATTAACGAGTGTTCTCTAGTGGAGAAGCACCACTCTCGTATCATCACCGCTTCGTGTTATACATGACCGCTGAGCTCTGGTTCTCCAGCGCCCGTGCCATAGCGATAACGACTGTATTCTTGCAGACTCCGTAACTGCAACACTCTTCGGCCGGCATCGCTCCGTTGAGAATCAAGTCTCGTTTGGACTAGATATGTGTCAGTAAATATGTCGTCCTGCTTATTTTAGTGTACGAGGTAGACGTACGTCTGGACAGCGGATGGGAGACGCCTGAACTAGAGCGCCTAATAACGAGAAGATCGTAACGAGTGGTAATAGTAGGTTGAATTGCATCGTCGAATAGTCCCTTTAGATTGGTGTCCAGAGATATTCGAACGAAGGCTGGAGAGGAATTGGAATACGGCGAGTTGGTTTTATTAAACGATTAAGTTGGAAGGATTAATGTAACTTTCGTAGTTAATATAATCCTTCTCGATTACCTTCTAATAAGAGATGTAACGAATAGACGTCAACCCGCATAAGTTATAACACAGGAGGATCAAATAAACCAACTTGGTTACAAGAAATGAGGAGCGGTCTTTTATCATATAAGAAATCAACAGATGGATACCGCTAAGACGAGAGTGGTGTCAGAAATCGGAAGTACAATACACATGTATGCTGTAGCTCGTTTGCCCTACCCACGCCACAGGAGAGCCAACCCTTGTGAGCTGAATGGTCGAGCACCCTCCTGCAGATAGGGAGTAAAATGCGGCTATTGCTACAAATGATACAACCGGGCGTGATGGGGCTGAAAAGCCGGTGATCCAAGGGCTTGAGGCTGTGATTCATTACTAGGGTGCTATGACGAAGAGTGACTGAGATCTCGCAAGATGACTACCGCTTGCGGTGGCTAACCCTGTCAGACAGTAATAGTTAATGATGTTGATAAAATCGTCATTTAAGTGCCAATAGCAGCGAGTACAAAGCCAGAGAGCCAAAAAAGCGAGTGGCTGTGATTGGCGTCTCGTGAAAATCTAGCCGGCGACCTTGCCAAGCCCCCCCAAAAATTAGGTACTCGGTGCGTTTTGTTAGCGAAGAAATTAAGAACTCAGCAACCCGTAATAAGATACGAGGAGCCGGCAATTTGATAGCGAGGGAATAGCCTTTTTCGTACCGGCCCTACCGATTCTCGTAAGAGAAAGGCCATGGTGTCAATTGAATAATAGAACAGCCCTGCTAATTAATCCGTAATGCTAGAATGTTTCGAGAAGGAAAAAAATAGAAACATGCGGAAGCCTAACCTAATTCAGCTTAGCCCCTATGGGCGCTTGCGACGGGAACAATCCGTCCGGGAAAACGCTTGAAACCGGCCATTACGAGCCCGTAATCCGGACCAGCTCAATTTCACATGATTTTGCTTTAGAGAGGTACATGCGAGCTTATATAATACAACATACGAACCTCAAATATCATCAATGTGCGAGTCTGAGCTTTGTTTTCTCGAATTTCTGAAACCCTAAGCTGCGCCTTCGCACCACTTACCCAAGTTGGGTCGAAAATGGGACGTTACGAACTGATCATATACATACATGTACCTACCTACCTAGGTAACTATGAAGGCTCCTTTTCTTCAGTTCTCAGGTCCCTATGCTGTTAACCAGACCCGCAAACCAACACAATCTTTACGCTCGTCCCTATTCCTAACATAGGGATTTCCTTTTCCGGGTCCTATCTCCTCGAGAATAAGTGAGGGCGATCTATAAGTAGGTAGGCAGGTAGGTAGCTATACATGGGAAACGAAATTTCACTAGGTCCATCTTACTAGAACTCATCTATACTAGTTTCCACTTAATCTGTGTTTTGTGGTTGAGACTCTCATGAGACTTGCAGTTGCCGTAAGTCATGTCACTAAGTTAGACAGATCTGACCGCTCGCTCAACAGTGGGACGGCCCAAAATATTTTAAGTTCAAGGTAAGTTGGGAAGTAAGTGTAGGTCAACTATAGCGAGCAGACACTTGCTCAACTTCGTTGCAAAGTTCAGAGAAGGCGGGAGTTGTGTTCCCACCAATGTTGTCTTTGGTTGATACCAGTCTGCTTCTTCCTCTATTCTAGCGAATCACACATCATTCAAATCACGCCCTGCTTTTCATATTCTGCTCGATTTACTACCAATAAGATTTGAAGCATCATTCTTGTAATAGGATACAGCCAATTCACTCCAAGAATCAATAATGTCGAATCAAAAAGACAAATCGGAATCCTTGCGGGATCCTAACGCGCCGAAACCCTCACTTCCACTCCGTCTTTCTCGCCCGGGTCCAATAGCACGTCTACTTCGCACAAACAGCGTGCCTCCTCCAAATTACAGGCCTCTACCAAAGCTAAATTATATTGAAGATTGGCTTCCGAGCTTGGAGATTCAACTCCCGCCTAGGCTCCGTTACTTGAGAGGAGGTTTAATTTATTGTCCACCAGTAAAGGCAGCGCCGCGTTGGCTCCCCAGGCCTGGTTACGGCCGCCAGGAGACAGAGTTGAGGTTCTGCGATGTGAATATTGTAACCCCTTATTCATTTCTCGCCATTAACTGATTCCCGCAGACCAGAGGCCTCGACGACAAGTTCCCCTTTCCGTTGAAAGATTATACCTCTGGGGAGCTAGGGTCCGTCCCGGATGACGTACTAGCTCAAGTTATTACGGACTGGCGCCGAACCCCAGTTATATCCTTCCGACCCGATACTCGGAATGTCGTATCACGCATTTCTCCTGATCTGGTCGCCAAGTGGGGACCGGATGTCTGCCCAGGAGAGGCAGATGCCATGTGGATTTCTGACGGAAAACCTATGGGAATGGACGACCACATTCCTCCTGTGCGCAGAATCATTAAAGATCCAGTCACGAAATATTTCATCATCATCATGGACTATATCTGGGGTGGCTACAACTTGGTCGACATCTGGCATCGCAGATCGAAGGAACAGCAAGGCAGAATTGCTGCGAAGGTTACTAGCCTTGTCAAATTCATGCAGGATTACACCT